TTAGTTTATGTGTGTTTAGTTGTGTAGATGCATTTGTGTAATAAAAATTAAGTATGTGTGAAAAGTTTAATTTCACAGAAAAGTTTCCTATATGTATCGCAATCATTTTAAACTTATTCTGAATAGGTCTAGTAAATGCGTGCATTCACCAGTCACGGTGAGTTAACAGATGCACGCGGCTGGGGCGTGACTTAGCACACGTGGGCACATCGGCTGGCACCAATTAAAACTGCTGCAAAAGTCACGCCCCATGGCAACAGAACCATCTACCCTGCGTGATGCGGTGTGACCACATGCTAATCATTTGCCAAACACTGTTTACGAGCAGTGACCCTTGGATTTACATATGTAGACTACAGTTGTAGATATGTAATATTTATTGACATTTGGTGAAATTACTACAATGCTTTTTTCCCCAACATATGGCCTATTAGCTAAAATTTGTGAAAAATAACAGTGAATAACAACAAAAAAATAACCTGTTAACTTAAATATAAGCAAATATTGATTTAAAACATTTAAAAATTAACAGGTTGTTAATTTCACATACGACATACAGACTGTTATTTTGTCCATTAAATTGCGGTCTGCAAAATTGAGGGTTTAACCATCATTTAACAACTAGTCCCTGTCTCCCAGCTAATTGACTCAATGACGCCATCTCTGACAGCACAAGTCATTCCTGTCTTTCCATAAGGAAGCATTCAGCTTGGCACGAATAGTGGGCTCGTTGTACTTTACTGCCTATTTGAACTGAATCCTGTCAGATGTACTTCCTCCCACATGTGAGGATGCTAATGATAGTCAAGATAACATTTATAGAACACTTACTACATGCCAGGCAGTGACCTAAGTGCCCTGCTTGCATTATATCTCATTTAATCTTCATATGGTCTCTGAGGGAGCTACTGTTATTATTCCCATTTTACAGATGAAACTAAGGCTTACAGAGAGAGGTGATAAGTTAAAATTAATCAGGATTTCCAGTATTCTTTTATTTTTCTTTTATATCATTAATTTAGATTTCACAATGCTACTCATTCCTACCAAGGGCAAACTGTAGTATAATAAAGGGCTATATAGTGGCTGATTTTTGGAGAAATTAATGGCTTAAGAAAACAAATTGAGAAGAAAATGGGAATCCTATTCAATATTAAAAATAGGAGGAAGCTTGTAATAAAAAGTCCTTTACTTCTGAATGGTTTGTGACTTTGGAATTTTCTACTTCATTGACACAGACTCTACCAATATTAGCAGAGAAGTCAGATTAATATTCATGCTAATCTGAGCAGTCCAGCATAATTGTAATCTTGCTCACTAGGTAGAACTGTTCTAAAGCCTACTTTTAAAAATTATTTGCAGTATCTATTAAATGCTAATTTATTTCAATGTTTCATTTCAAATTATGTTTCTGGAATCCACTACATTCATAATGTGTTGATTTTTAATATAAAAAGGAACAGCTTTCTGTTTCATCTATT